TTTATTTTAACTTTTATTTCATTAATCTGCGATTGTGAATCGTTTTATTAGCCAGAACGATCTTTTATGTCTAAAAAGGGAGATATTGAATCAGTCATCAAATATATATTATTTTTGAGAGCAAAACTGTCATTTTATTAAAAGATTAGAAGTTTTATTATAAACTTTTTTCTTTTTTTTGAGTAAATGAAAAAGGAATAGGCTCGTTTTTATAAACGTCTAACAATAAATGTCGGCTTCTATTGGCCTGTGTGTCTTGAGATATTCAAAAGATTGTAGATTTGATATTGTTGATCAATACTTTTTTTATTTTAACTTTTATTTCATTAATCTGCGATTGTGAATCGTTTTATTAGCCAGAACGATCTTTTATGTCTAAAAAGGGAGATATTGAATCAGTCATCAAATATATATTATTTTTGAGAGCAAAACTGTCATTTTATTAAAAGATTAGAAGTTTTATTATAAACTTTTTTTTTTTTTTTTTTTTTTTCTTTATTTATTTGTGATCATTATCTATTGTATTATACATTTTATACTGTATTTGATAACTCGCGTTTACGTTAGTTTTATAAAAAAAAAGAAAGATACAAAAGCTCTCTCTTGAAAACAAGCATTTAAAGGAGAATAAACGATAATTTTATTATTAATATTGTTTCAGACTGGATTATATTTGGAAATTGTTGGTCAAAATTAAGAAAATATTTTTTCTTAGCAGGTATATTCATTACAATATGCCACGCAAAGAAAAATGTTCCATTTAATAGGCAGGTTGGGTTGTTGTAAATAATTTAGCCAAAATATTTAGAGAATGGCCTTGATACGCGCAATGTTGGTGTAGTATTATATACTTCATATGTATACATCGTTTTATAACTCACACACACACAATTTATAACTTGTTTTCTAATTTATAAAATTATACACAGGCATTCATAGCATGACGAGGAATTAGTTATTTAAATAGCTAATTCTAGATAAATACGAAATAAATTAGTGCTTCCATTGTCTGATTATTGATCAGTATTTAGATGAGTTTTGTTATATGTTCTCTATTTACTATTACTATTAAACAATTTTACACGATCGGTTTTTATAAATCTTTATACATACGTTGTTGAAAAATATATTTTACTAATTATGATTATAACATTATATTATTTTCGCAATTATCTCTTTTATAGAGTTTATATTAAATTGTGAGAATTTCAATTTTTCAATATGTTATTCAATGATTTTTTACATCAAGCTAATGTACATACAGTCCGCGTGTATAAATATATAAAAAAATACACACACGCGCATCCATAAAATGCTCAATTCATTAATGTTTATGCATACATAATTTATACATACATTTACACATTATGATTGAATTTAGAAATATATGTATTGCACAAATTCACAACTATAAGCAAGAAACATACACACACCATACATACATGGTATAATTTATCGCATATATGCATGCGTATGTATGCTGATAGCATATATATTTATACTAATTATGATATATTTAATGACATTTGTACATAATTATAATTTTACTATAATCTTTATATCATAGGAGTCTGCAGATGTTCTGTCACTTGAAAATAGAGATAGTACATCCTATGTACAACGAAGTATAATGTAATTAAAACACACATATAGTGTAGCACGACATATTGTAAAGGCAAAAGTATAAATAATATATATACAGAGATTGTTTACTTACATACAGCTCTCTCTTTCTCTCTGTAATTAGAATATTTAACATTAATTTAATGAAATCAAGCAAAAACACATGCACTTCAACGTTATTAGTTCTATACTTTATCCCTAACTAATAGACGTGCAACATAAGATGTTGTAAATATAATTTTAACATCTGCAAAATTCTACGATATGAAGAGTGTTTCATTGTTTTTATTGAAATGCAAAGCAAAACAGAATATGTTATCATCGCGCAACAATCGTACAAAGGATAGCGAAAGCGTCCATTTCTGTCCTTTGAAACCAACCAAAAAGTGTTGCCTGTAAGCTTATGAGTGAATGATTTGCTCCGATTATTAAATCGGAAAAAATAAAGAAAAAAAAAAGATTTTGTGATCTATAAGATCAACGAAATTTATTGATATCGATGAAGTCTACGAATACGAACAAAATGTGACTTATAGATATTGAATGTCTGTATACACATGCAAAAACCTGTAATTTTATAGTTATTGTTCTGGATGAAAGGTGGCTGGATATATTTTTTCATGTATCAGTCACACAATTCGGTACGAAAAAAAGAAAAACGATCAATTCGATCGTTGAATCGAATTTAATCGAGTGTTAGAATTATAATGAAGAAAAAAAATATCTCTTACACTCTTTTACGCGAGGGGCCACGCTGGGCATGCTGTAATAAAGTCGGCAGTCTATTGTAACGCGATGTATCTAGAAAAAAAAATCGGAAAAAAGTGATAGAAAATATGAAATATATTATAATATATATACGTATTTATATGGAAAAAAGAACTTGTCTATTTGTGTTCACGCGCGTATCATTCGAATCATTATTATATTCTATCGCATTTATATTCTTCAAGTCATTTTAATGTCATTACGCACAATGTATTGCATATGTTTTGCATTTCGATTTTGCATATCCATCCCTGACAAATATATAAGGATATGAATTTTCATAAAGTTTTTTTAAACCTCCTTTGAGGTACATCTTCTATCGGTCTTCGTGACTTCTCCGTAGATGATTAAATTATACAATTGAATTCCTCACGTTATATACATATTTGGAAAAAACTATGTAGAAACTTATTTATACAGACATACAAATGTGTGTTTTATATATGATGTACACTTAAATAATTTATTACTAATGGCTCGTGTAAAGAGGGTACTGTTTGCTGTGGGTGATGCATCCAGATCGACCATAATGAGAGACTAATTTACATCATTATATGTGTATTGTGCGCAAAAAAAATCGAATGTGACACGATCCGTGTAAAATCGTTCTTCGCATGTTGTATCGTTGATTTAACATTGTTGCCTGTTCGTTTTGCATTCAATGTGTTTACGAAACCGTTGTTCGCGGCAATAGTCTTAAATCAATGTGTGTATATGTGCAAACGTCTCTGTGGGTTGTAAATATGTTATTACTGCAAAATATCTGGCATTCCCGCGACGGTACGATAAAATTACGGCATTATATCCTTGTATACGTAAGGACAATGGCTCTCTTGCGTTTCGCATAAGTCAGAATCTGTACTAGATTGCAGAACAGATATATATCTAGCATAGAGAATGTAAGATAAAGAGTCAAGAGCCTTTGTTTAGACCAAATGTGTTTCTAGCACTTCTTTCGTAAGGATAAACTTAGAGAATAGTCATTATATACCGATTACTACCTTTACATGCTACTTACGCTATTCGGTATTTTGTCACTAACGTAATAATGTTCCAACACAAAAATCTATGTCGATGTCGTGTCCAAGCGTATAATTTACACATATAGAAATATAGATATCATTTAATATTTAAATAACATATAAAATCTGTAATAAATCCTTCATGTGGCTACCACACAAATGGCGAGTATATATACCTCATGTTAACACAATTTTATTTTCTTTCATTATTATTCGTGAAGTTAATTATTATAAATTATAATTATTAAAAAATCAGCACCATTTAGATATATACACATTAAGGGGGATTACATAAGTTAGTATACGAAGAAGAAAGAAAAAAAAGAATATATACATATTATATTTTTTTTCTTTTTTTTTTTTTTCATATACTAACGTATATGTGTGTGCATATATACATACATATTTTTCTCGTGTAAGTTCCTTAATGACACGAAATCGATTGATAATCTGATGCGGAATCCTTTAAACTGCCACAGACAGTATATAAGAAATTGAAGCCATCTTTATTGTATTATTTATTATCAGGTAGTTTGTATCGTTTTCTTGCATTGAGATTAATTATTTTACTTTACGCGATTATTTCGAATCTATCTAAAGGTTTAGAGTAATTCCTGTTCAAAATTCCTGTTTTTTCTGGCTTGTACATATCAATTTATAATTCTATCTTAGTATGATTTAGATAATATTTTTTGATACATTAATCTTAATTTTTTAAAATTTCGCGGAACAATGCGAACGTAACTAAATATATAAATAAAACCAGTTTTCTTCGAGCTCGATATTTGTCTTACATTTTTACTATGCATCCGGAGGTATTTGTGTCATTTACTTTAATGCGACAGCTAACCGTTATCTTTATCGTAGAAGTACTTCTTTGCACGCAAGTTTATCAATTGAGTTTTATGTCGAGACTATGAAAATTTATGATTTTTACTGACGTACATTTATTTATATAAAAAATACTTCCTATATGAAATATTTCTTATATCTTCTGAGATCGATCATCATGTATGATTTTCAATTTTCGCATTTAAATTCAAAATAAAAGAACATATTAAAAAAAATATTCGTTATCAATAAAAAACTAAACAGATTAGTAAAATGAGTAATATTTTGCATATAATATATTGCATTATATAACTATAATTCTCTTGTATATAATTTATAATAACCATTATTCCCGATTTATGTGTGCTCTTTGATATAGCGCTGTTTTAAAACGTGATTAATATGTGCTTTTTAAAATAGCGATGTCTAAAATGCTTTGAGAAAAAATCGCAATTATGTGGTAATATGGAACTTTGAACTTTGCTTCCTTTTACGCAAAGGTAACAAAATGCGTATCTTGCTTTATAGTTTATACAAAATGGAGAGAAATGAAGTAGAATGTCATTGCGCAATTTTTTCTTGTATACAAAAACGTTGCGACGTGTTTCCTGTAAAAAAAGATGCGGTTTCGAAACGATTCAAGGATAATATTTATTACGAAATCACAGCGTTAATATTTTCCATGCGGGACTATGAAGGCCATATGTATTTATGTACAAAAAGTAGTGTTGCCTGTAACTTATTAGAATCGAAGAAGAAATGCCATGCGCGGGATACGCATGATGGAAGTGACAGGCGCAAGTGCGAAAGACACGCGACGACTCCATTCACGCATTAAATAATCCAGACACGCGATTAGAGGGGACAGCAACAAGAACGGCCAGACAAAAGCTGCCTGGCTTCACCGACTGGCTGGCGAATTGCGAAGTATCAATCGGAGTTACATCCGGAGTAAGTATGACTTAATTTTATGCTATTACATAATGCGTTTCCTTTTGATACGTATAATTTATGCAATCGTTGAAATTAACGAACCGGAGAAGAACTGTAAATTTGTTAATAATAAGAACGAGAACCATAAGATTGCGGCTGCGCGACGCGAAGAGTTCACCTTTTTGTTTCCTTTACGATCGAAGACAACTGAATCATTCGTCATCTCTTATCGTTTCATTTATTTATATCTTCGAAAGAGAGCTGATCGGTCCAATATCTAAAATATATCTATAAAAAGTTCGTTCTTCTCTTTGTTTATATTTTTTTAAAGAAAGAAAAGGAAAAGACATATAGACTTCATCCATGTCTGTTGCTCTGTTTGCTATATATTTTTTACATCTTTCTAAAATTCATGGCTCGTATTTCTTTTTATTCTTTCCATTATTTTTGGGTAATTCCTTGTACTTATTTTAGAAACAAATTTAATATATGCAAAATATATATATCAAATATAATTGTTGCTTCATGCTTTTATTCGTTTTATTATATTAATAAAACAGTCACGAGCGCAGATGGAAGAACATTTCATATTCATTTTATGCCTGAAAAAAAATGAAAAGATTCGGTATGCGTGTACACAATCCATGTGTTATGATTTATTGTTGTGATCTCACACTTCTTGATTTAAGACTTCGTCTTGGCGGACATATTCAAATTTTATTTTCGTCGCAAATATATATAAGTATTGTGCAATATGCGGGGCTCTGGTGGCTCAGGGAGTAGCGCGCCTGACTCACATCCCCAGACATCTCGGGTTCGATTCCCAACTCGACCCTGGCCTGCGCTTTCCTATTTTTCCTTTCCTACCACACCTCCCAATAAAAAATTCCTTCCTTCCCTCTCTTCTCTTCTTCCAGTATATACACATAAAAACTGAATTTACATTCTAATATAACCTGTTGTTGGCCCGAATACATGACACCTACCCCAGATCATTACGGCCATTTAAATATTAAGAATACAGAATTGAGCGATGTGCTGCCGGGAGTTGATACCGGAACTCTTAATGCTTCAATCGTTCTGATAACCATAGAATTTATATATCGATTACTTTTTATAGGCCTACCACGTAGAAATATTGATATGTGCGTGTAATTTTAACAATAACAAAATAGTATTTTGATTATTGCTCATTGTTTTAATAACCTAAAGTGGAGACGAAAAATGCGGATCAGCTGATTGAATGGAATTTGATCTTTTCGTAGCGTTCGAAGAGAGGGATACACAAGAGGGGATGAGGTAATTATATGAGAAATAATAGGCAAACCAATCCTGAGACGAACATTATGCAGAGTTGGTGGAATCACTAAAGTGTATACGTGATCGTAATAAATTCATACAGTGGTATTCTTGTCGGATTTCTCGTCAGACAGAATTTGTGAGTAAGTGATAAATATATTAATCATTGATTATTAATAAATGAGATTAATTATGGATATGCGATAATTTGATGCTCCTCGAAATCATTAACTAGTTTTATTATACGTTATTTAGGTATACAGACGGATAGAGAAAAAGACGGAAAGTTTCTCATTACGATGATTGTCAGTGCTTTGCGTGCTGTTTTTGCAGGAAGAGTGATTAATATGCACGCACAGTCACAGTTATTGAAGTGTAATCAGTACTTGGTAGTATATTTTTTTTATCTGCAATTATGATAAAATAACATTATTTATGATTCTGTATATTATTTCTATTTCTTATTTTTGTAAACAGATGTCAACATACTTACCATCTCTTTTAGGGTATCAGACAATTGACACGTTTGTTGTCCTCCCATCATGTCTCGAAGAATATTGAATTCCTTACACAAGATAATCGTATTTTATCATCTAAAAATGTTATACACAATGTAAATGTGACAAACAATCGTCCATTGTTAGTTATTCTTACTTGGCTATTATCAAAGCGACAGCATGTTATGAAGTTTGTTAATTTGTATATGGAACAAGGTTTTGATGTGGCAGTGGTGTCTCTTACACCTTGGCAACTTTTGTGGCCCACAAAAGGCTCCAGAGTAAGTATATATGATAGAACTGCGTTTTAATCTATCTATTATAAAATTTTCAAAACTTATTTTCAGCTAGTTGCAGCAGATTTGTTAACTTTCTTAAAGCAAAATGAAAGTTACCAACAAATTCTCTTACATGGATTTTCAGTAGGTGGTTACATGTGGGGAGAGACCTTGGATTTGATGGAAAGTAACAAGGACAAGTACAGTGGCATTGCAGATAGGATTGTTGGACAAGTGTGGGATAGTATAGCTGATGTCAATGAAATTCCGGTAGGCTTTCCTTATGCGGTATTTCCGAAAAATATGATGCTGCAATCTGTGCTACGGAAATATTTAGAGTAAGTAAGAGAGAAAAAAAGAGCGAGAAAGATCAATGAAGCAAGAAATAACTCAATTTAATTAATACAAAATAATGTCCAGATATCATATGAAGACATTCCACCAGCAAGCAACACGTTATTATATTCGATCCAGTCAAATATTTCATATTGCTGCTATACCTGTACCAGCGTTGTTATTTGTAAGTAAAACTGATCCTGTTGGAACTCTAGCCAGCAATTTGAGTTTACGCGATACTTGGGAATCTTCAGGAATAAAGGTAAAATTTGCGTTTGCTGGCTCATGAGAGAATTATAAGAGAAATATATATCTATCTTTCAGACTTATGTGAAAATATTCGAAGAGTCACCGCACGTTGCCCACTTCTACAGATATCCAAAGGAATACGTTGCCGAACTCTATGCCTTTTTACAAAAACTAAACTTGATACAAAATGAAGAAAAAATTAGATCACGCCTTTAATTATTTTAAAAGCACTTTTGATATAACTCAATTATATTTCTTATGTAAAGTTAGCTTTTTGGTGACACATTACACATCAGACATTTGTAGTATCCAATATTTGCCACACATACACATACATATAGTAAATAATTTTATATATTTTATAAGGTTTTTGTATGGAATTGCATAATCTAGATAATCGAAAGGTTTTTGGTGCATAAAAAGAGAGAGGTCTTTGAAAATGTTTAAAAAAACTTATCTTGATCATATTTCTACAAGTTCAACTGCCTCTCTTAAAGAATTATGCACATAATGAAACTTGCATTATTACTTATAATTATATAAATAGAGAATATTTTGAATGCATAATATATAACAAGTACATATTACGATTTTATCTTTTATCTTTCTTTGTGAATAAAACGTGATATATTAAAGAAGATATATATTAGATACATTAAAGAAAAAACAATATAGTCTAAATATATTTATCATCATATCATACTTTATATTATATGAATAGGCTTAATTGTATAATATGTATATTTTATATCAATTTCACATTATATACATTATATGTTATACAGGGTGTCCCATAATTCGCGGATCACCCGCCATGTGCAGGTAGAGCAGATGAAACCGAGAAGAAAAGTGCTTTACCATTTTGCGATTTTCGTAATAATTATTAAGAAATTAATTTAAAAAGATGGGCCAATCCATGCCTTACACAAGCGCGCGGCGAGAAGGGCCTTCCTACTCAGGCGTTGCTGGGTGAGCGGCGAAGCGGTGGGAGGGGCGCTCTATACGGCTACGTACGAGCGAACGCTGAAGCCACGCACGCTTCGCCGCGCGCCTAGCAACGCCTGAGTAGGAAGTCTCTTCTCGCCGCGCGCTTGTGATTGGCCCATCTTTTTTAATTAATTTCTTAATAATTATTACGAAAATCGCAAAATGGTAAAGCACTTTTCTTCTCGGTTTCATCTGCTCTACCTGCACATGGCGGGTGATCCGCGAATTATGGGACACCCTGTATACACTAATTTTATTTCATGTCGAAATAGTTTGTTCCAATTTTTTTTTCTTTTTTGGCTTTTTATATTTTTTTCTCTTTTGCTCCTCTAAAAGCTCTTCTATTTCGTCCGGATCTTTACCTTCTAAGATTAATTTTTTTCGCTTATTGATCATTTTCTTTTCATAAAAGTCAGTCTCATCCAGCCTAATCTCTGCTTCTCGTTTCGCCACTGATATTTGTGTTAAAATTGTAACGATTTCCTTATCTAAAATTGATTAAAAGGGCGATCAAATCATTGCAAATTTTAATTACTTTTATCAAGAAAGAAGAAGCGTAAAATGGAATGTATACTCACCATCTACCTTGTATTCTGTTAATTTAGTGCCTATGGTGTCTTCAATCATATGTAATAATTTGATATCGTTTGGAGTTATCAAGCTAATCGCCATACCGCCTCTACCTGCGCGAGCTGTTCTACCGACTCTATGAATGTATTCCTTCGGTACATTCGGTATAATATGATTAACCACTAATTGTACCGTTGGGATGTCTAAACCTCTTGCTGCGACATCAGTGGCAATTAAAATCTGTACATGATTTGACTTGAATTTATTTAGTGCTGCTAAACGTTCCTTCTGTTTTATCATTGCGTGAAGAGCCACATTCGTAAATCCAACATCATTCAGCGTCATTGATAATAATTGACAGTGCCTAAATATGGAAGAGTTACACATATATAACTAAGTTTAAATTTGCAGATTACTGTTTGAATCTTTTCTCTAAATACAAAGGAAAGAATTGTCGTACTTGCAAGTGTCCGTGAATATCATAATAGAGCCATTCTTGTTTGTAGCGCGAAATGTCCTAATTACTTCTACTAGGAATGAATCGAGTACATCCTTAGGACATAATACGTAACGTTGATCCAATTCCTTTACAGTGGCAATCCCAGCATCATCCTCTTCTTCCCACATGAAAACCTAGAATAAAAGCATTTTTTTTTTTTTTTTTTTTTTTTTTTTTTTTTTTTTTTTTGGTGTAATGTAGTATAATTATAGTCACATTATTAAGTGATAAGATCATACCTTACTGGAGGCTATTTGTTTCACTTTATCAAGAGCATCTGTCATTGTAGCACTGAATAATAATACTTGTTTTTGTTTGGAGACTGCAGCAAATATTTTCTTAAGTTGTTCATCAAAATGACCACCCAGCAATCTATCAGCTTCATCCAATACTAGGAATTTGATTTTCTGCAAGGAAAACGTATCGCAGCTGTCTAAGTGATCTACTAGTCTGCCTGGAGTAGCTACAACTATGTGTGGCCGTTTGGACAATTCCAATCCTTGCACCATCATATCCATGCCACCAACAATTACACATTTCTTCAGATTAATAGCTTTGCCAATGGCGGCAAATTGATCAGCAATCTAAAATAAATACCATGTATATTCGATATATAACACAATTTATATTAGTTACAAGTATATCTCATACAAATATATCCAGTTAACTATAAGATAATTCATCCAAAGAGCAATCAAAGAAGAAAATAAAATATTTATTTCACCTGAAAAGCTAGTTCCCTTGTTGGCGTTAATACAAGAGCAAATATACCATACGGATCCTCGCACAATTTTTGTAAAATAGGCAAAGCAAATGCAAGAGTCTTGCCGCTACCTGTCTTTGCACATCCTATACAATCTTCGCCTGCTAATATTCGGGGAATGCAATTCTGCTGAATGGGAGTGGGATTTTTTAAACCTAAAACAGATAATATGAAATACAACTGTAATTATGTCATAAAAGCGGCAATTGTTTAGCACCTCAAAGTATTACAAATATTTTTACTTTCTAACAGAAGAAACAATTCTCTCTGGAAATTATGTTAATAAAAAAGTTTACTTACCCATCGTATCGCATTGTGTAAGGAGCCAAGAATTCAGTTTTAAATCCGAGAAATTTTTAATTTCACTCATATTGTCGAACGTGTGATCGCACGAGTCACTTGTTGCATTTAAAAATTCTACTCATCAGGTTAGGACTGTGTGTGGGTTCCTTTTATTATCAATATAAATGTTAAAAAGATTTGATTGGTCACCCAGGACAAAGCAATCTATGTCCAATGAAAACATTCCATTGATCACGTTGTAAATGACCATAGCCACTCATATCGACCGGTGTCTAGGGTGACAAGTAACGACCGACCAATTAGAAAGTCCTATTTTGAATTAGCCATTTTGCGACGCGGGCAATTCAAATACGGCGCACGTTCACCGTCCTACCATCACGCATGTGCCAACAACTGGTTCGCATGCAACACTACTTTATCTTTATACTCTATGCTGCTATTCTACTCCACTTTAATTTTCACCTTATCATTAGTCGCGTTGCGCGTTCATCACGATGAGAACGTAGTGTATCACCGTCGTTCTTCCAAATTTCTCAATCATCAATTTCACATTCTGCTGCAGTGTCAGTGACTGTGAATAACGTAATCCAGTACGTACATATTAATCTACATAACGTGTTCCTATCCATCTCCCTCGGGACGGCGATTGCAAAGTCATCGTTAAGGTTAAGGTTAAACACGGTTTCTGTGGTCGCAGTGAAAGTGCTTATGCTCTTCGACCCAATTCATGTCCCCATCTCTTGCTCACGCTTCGTATTTGATACATTCCAAAATTCGAGATCTCGTCTCTCCGCACTCACTGATATTTGTGTCAAGCTATACCGGGTGTTCCAAACGTGGCGATGAACGGCGCGGAGAAATGTGACGTAATCCGAGTTGGATCTCGGAAAAGTGAGGTGAGTCTGCGAACAGCTTTCACTTTATCGAGAACTTTACGAACCTCCGGGACGAATCGTGAATAAAATTTTTTTATGGGTTTTATACTCTTATCAAAATTGTTAATATCCGATAGTCCTACTGGCAAATTTTTTTCTTTTATAAAAGCGTCGACTTTAACGTGTATATTTATTCCGCTTCATAATATAACAGGATGATTATGCAATTACGTTAAGGATAACGTATAATTTTTTTTCATTGACTTCTTAAATATAGGTCATTTTGTATTGATACAAAAGATTAATTTTGCGTAATCATTGCGTGTATTGTTGTTACATGTATCAGTCTACGTAAAATTACTCAGCAATTTTTTAATCTCTATAAAAACTATTCACAATGATCAGATGTTTGATTGTATGCTCAAGAGGTATAGATAATCGCATATTGAAGAATGTTTTTTTTTTTTAGACGTTATTTTTTGGTTAGCTATAAAATCACGTATATGGAAAAAATGTTTAATTTATGTCGCGACGCATCATCACTCCAAAATGTTACTTCATATATGAATAATGCAAGTTTTTAATTCTTTAGTTGGCCTTGATACAAACTAAGCATGTGATACAATGCCTAAAAGAAATATATCCAAAGAAAGAATTTGAAATAGGTAAGCAAATAAGCATAAAAATGCAATAACATATCGTCTTTATTAATTATTAGACATACCGTTAATTAATTTACTATTTAAAAAAAATTTAAGTTTACATAATATTTATTCTCTCTCTCAAATAATTTCAACATTATGTAAGTGATAATCTTTACACATTTCCTTTTTTTTTTGTGATTATTACATAACATATTTGAAACATTGGTCTCTCTAGCTCTTGCTTCTTGTATTCTATGATTTGCATATAATAACATGTTCTATTATTATGTTTATTTATCAGCGCGAAAATACTTCTATTTATTTCTATATATTTTAAGTTATATTTTGTAAATTAGAGATTTTATACAAATTTTATAATTAAATATACAGTAACAATGAATACTAAGGGGGATAAGATTTTGGATAAATCTTTACCAAAAATTGGTGAAAAGTCACTATTTACGGAAGAGTTGGAAATAGCTTTGGAAAATGGTCGCGTTGATTTTGTGGTGCACTCATTGAAAGACTTACCAACAACACTGCCAACAGGAATGGCTCTAGGTGCAATATTAAAGTATGTTGTCTCTAACATAATTTTAAACTTAAAAAAAATTGCTATCTCCTCTTGTATTATTATTTTAAATTATTTTTATTTCAATATTATATTTGTCTACATTATTTTTATGCTTATTAGAAAGAGCTGACTTTGCTATTTTGCTTAAATTCTGTTGCTCCAAGATAACAATACACATTTTACATTCAAATGTGTAAGTATATTATCATTCTCATGAAAGAAACATCTTTATATGAAAGATATTCCTTATCGGTATTCCAGATTATGCTAACTTTATATATTCTGATATGATATCAATAATTAACTTTAATTGTTTATAACTTGGAAATTATTGTAACTCTGATAAAGATTTTCTATTTTAATTAATTTCGATATATGCTATTAAAATATATGATAATTATGGAGCATCAAATGTATAGATCTGAGTATAAAAAAATAATTATGGATTCTTTATGAAACATATATTTGTGTTTTTGACATGTACAAAATCATTGAATTATAAAAATTATTGAAAAAAGGTTATGAACGAAAAATGAAAAAAATATATTAATATTTTTTAATATGAATGAATAACTTTTTTTTTTACTTTTATAGACGCGAAGATCCACGTGATGCAGTAGTTATGTCGAAAAAGTTCAAAGGTGAAACATTATCTTCATTGCCAAAAGATAGCGTCATAGGTACTAGTTCTTTACGTAGATCAGCGCAACTATCTCGAAATATGCCTCATTTGAAGGTAGAAAATATTCGTGGGAACTTGAATACTAGATTGAAAAAATTAGATGAAGAAAATGGTTCGTATGCTGCAATAATATTAGCTGCAGCTGGTTTAAAAAGAATGAGCTGGGAAGACAGAATAAGTCAAGTACGATTCTTGCTCAGACAGATTTCTTTATATTATTTCTATAAAAAATTTAGCCACATTAATATGCATGTGTATTCTTCCAGCTTCTAGAACCTGAAGAAGCTCTCTATGCTATTGGTCAGGGTGCATTAGGCGTTAAATGCCGAGAATCAGATTGGGATATACGTTCTCTTTTAGAACCATTATTCGATGTAGAAACCACATTGAGATGTGTATGCGAACGTTCTTTTCTAAAAACTCTGGGCGGTGGATGTTCCGCACCAGTCGCGGTATCTTCATTCTTAAAAGAGAACGAGTTAACAATTACCGGTGCTGTATGGTCTCTAGATGGTCAAACCTTAGTTACAAATACCTCTAAAAGTAAATTGTACTTACCCGACGATGATGGCGAGCCTCCACGGTAAGTTAAACATAACTTTTAAGTGCTATTAGTAATTTGCACATGTTGACCCTCATGTCATCAATGAATATGAGTAGATTTTTAAAAAATTTCTATGCTTTATTTGTATGTGCTCTTTTCTCTCTGATATATAGGAAATGTCCGTATCAAGAACCTCGCCTTTACTGTAGTGTTACTCCTGGCAAAGTAAGCAGCATAAGTCTTCTCGGTGCAGAGCTGCTCGGTAAAGATTTAGCCAAAAATCTTATTGAGAAAAATGCTCTTGACGTGATGTCACAAGCTAGAAATGAAATCTTGGATTCAAAATAGTTATGGGTTGTTTATTTAGGTAATATTTGGTATTTTTGAAGTTAGAGAATACATGTATGTTAATGTAAAGCAACAATGATTGCTAATTTCCTTTTCATGACTGTGTGAATATTCATTATAAAGTTCTATTTATATATGCTCAAGATGGAAACTTTGATCAGAGAGTACAAATAGTATTATATTACTTTGTCCTTTCTGATTATATTAATTCTGCTTTACATATCATACACAATTTATGTCTTATTTATGAATCAGAAAAAGTACAAAACAAGTATGATAGATATATTGGTCAGCATCCCTATTTGTCGCATGTAACTTACTAGCCCATGTCTCTTGATCATATTAATATTGGAAAATGTTGTAAAATATTTTATATAATATTGAAGTTTTTATGTTAATATATTTTTGCTTTTTAATGAATGTATGGTACTCATGGAAAGCATGAGGAGTATTACATATGTATATTTAATTTATTGTTACATAAATGTTCTATAATTTGTTATTATTGACAAAGCAAATGTTACATAGAAATTTTATTATTGTTGACTATAATTCAGCCTATTGCAAAATACTGCCATATATAATAGGATGAATAATAGTCAGTGACATATACTTCCATTTCAATTAAACAAATTATAATCAAATTTCAATAATTATTATAATAATCAAGTTGTACTTGCAGAGAACTTATAAGCATAATTATAGCATGAGAATAGAATACACATCTTCTATTTTATATTAAACTGTATTTAAGAATACAGATTGTTAAACATAGACATTTTTAATGTTTTCGATCATTTTACATCTTGAGAAAGCCATATATAAAATTATTAAGTATTATACATGACTTGTATAATTTTATTGTTATTTTATTGGATTTTTTTATTTGATTTATATTATTCCTATAATGCGTCGATCATGAAAATGTTACATTTTGTAAGATGTATTTATGTATATATATACAGAGATATAATTAATTATATATATAGGAATTTTATTATGGCTATCATAAAAGAAATTTATACATAACATTGTACATTAATAAAAAAAAGAAGTCTATATTTTATCATCGATTATCTTATTTCATACCAGTAAGTTTAACTTATATTTTATCAGCATAATTTTTATACATAATAATTCTGTAAAAATATTCTTTGGAATTATAAGAAGCGAATATTTTTTTTTTATTTACTTTATTTTTTTCAGTTTGTGCTCTTGTGTACAGTTCCATATATAATATATTATACTAAAAACTAAAATCAATTTTCTCTCTTTAAAGTGATGCATCTTTCTTTATAAGAATATAATTTTATACTAAAAGTATATATATATATATGTGTGTGTGTGTGGGTGTGTTTGTTATATATTAGTTGAATGGCATTAGAAGTAATGCCTTTGTTTAAAATATTACATTCGTATTGATGCTAGATTTTATCTACAAAATATGTATATTTCTGCACATATTTATAGTAACACATACATACAATATAGGATTTACAATAATTGCTTTTCAACTGTATTTGTAAATGCTTCCAGAATATAATATAATATGCTTTTGAGAGCATATCTCATAATGTATTATTTTTGCATTTAATGTTAATATCATAGTTTAGAAGATTACAATCTCGGAGATCCATAGATAATAATTCTACAAATCGCTTTTCCATATTTATTACACCAAGATAAGGCAACGCTCGTCAGCATCGCAAGTATGATGATGACAGTATGTTCTTCTATTGAACACAGCTAATTGAAGCATACAATAACTACTTATAATTTATTTTATTAATGTTAATTCATCATGTTTGAATATTTGTATATGTTGCTTAGATTAAAGCAATGACTATATGTAATCTGTTTCCAAATTCATCATGTTTTGATGAAATTTTAACTCGTGTAATAATTTATATAGTAATTTTTATATATGTATATAAGAGATAAATATTATGACACAACAAATATATACAATATCATGAAATAACGAAAACAATAATACATATCTCTGTATTTCAAAAATCTTATTGGTGAAAACAGGATATATGAATACATAATATATCGAGGATAAATTGCATTTTTTCTTCCTCTTTTTTCAAAATATGTAGTCAATTAAAATCAATATAAATGAGTAACAGTTGCATGCATAAACTGTGCGATATAACATCACATTTTAAGGATTTAACATCCATTGAAGCTATAAATGTTTTAATGACATACAAAATTTTGTTTTAATTCTTTCCACACAAATAATTAGAGCCTTATATTAAATAGAATTTTTCGTATATTTGTATATAAAGAACGATGTCACTGGCATTGTTTATGGGGGACTAAATCTTAATTTGATATCAAAATACCATTTTGTAAGTTTTACATCTGTTAGAAATTGTCAGGATCATTGTTCGATTAAATATATTTGAACAATGGGATATGAAAATGTGTCTCTGCTTATTTAAAATAAAACGTATAATTCTCATAAAAATTTATTACATATAATTGGTAATATGTATTTGCCAAGGAAAATGGAAGTTTAATAAAGGAGAATGAATTGTATAATTGTAGGATTTTTTTTCTAGATGTAAACTATGTTTGCTTTTATATATTTTGCAAAAATGAGTAGACTTTTTACTAATTCCAGATTTTATTTAAGAATTGTCAACGAAACTTTCTATTCGTCTACTCGACATCCTCCTCCGCCATTTGAGTTTGCGATACTAGTTTCTGTAAGAAAGCAGGCAAGATAAAAAAAAATGTTACCTTATGAGATGGTGATACTTTTTTTCTTTTGCATAAATTTTTGTACCTGGCCGACCATAGGTAGCCGCTGCACCAGGATCTGGAAAATTGGCGGCGGTAGAGTCTTTTGAAGAACTGTTAGTAGTTGAGCTGGCTGTCCGCATACCGCCACTGCATTAGCCAAGTGTTCAATTCCACCCTCTATCTCGCCACAAGCAAGCATTTCTTCCCCAAGTTGAACCTAAATCAAACAATGTGATATATATATATATATATATATATACCGGCATATATTATAAATATAAGATATTATACAT